CGTCGAAACTCGAGGAAAACACGACGACGTCGTCCAAGTACACAAGGCAAGTCTGCCACTTCAATCCTGCCAGTACTGTATCCATAACGCGTTGAAAAGTTGCAGGCGCTGAGCAAAGGCCGAAGGGCATCACCCTAAACTCGAAGAGGCCGTCCGGTGTTATAAACGCCGTCTTCTCTCGGTCACTTTCGTCGACTTCGATTTGCCAATAGCCAGTCTTGAGGTCCATTGACGAGAAGTACTTGGCGTTATGGAGCCGATCAAGGGCGTCGTCTATTCGTGGGAGAGGATACACGTCCTTTCTTGTGATTTTGTTCAGGCGGCGATAATCGACGCAGAAACGTAGGGTCCCATCCTTTTTCTTCACTAACACCACGGGGGATGCCCACGGACTCTTGGACGGCTGGATAATATCATCTCGCAGCATTTCATCGACTTGTCTCTTCAATGCCTCACGTTCTCGCGTCGAAACCCTGTACGGACTCTGACGGAGTGGTCTGGCATTTTCTTCGGTTATGATTCGATGTTTCGTGATTGGGGTCTGCCGAATTTTCGATGACGACGAAAAGCAATCTTCGTATTGCAGGAGCAGGGCCTTGAGCTGTTCTTGCTTATCGTTCGGAAGTCTTGGATTGACGTCGAAAGCTATGGGAGGGGCTTGGTTCCTCTGAGCAGGTTCCGCAGTTTCGGCGAGGGCGAAAGCACTGGTGGCTTCGACAATTTCTTCGACGTATGCGACCGTTGTTCCTTTGTTCACATGTTTGTACTCATTGCTGAAATTCGTGAGCATAACCGTTGCTTTGCCTCCCCGCAGCTCTGCAATTCCTCTTGCGACGCAAATATTTCGGGTGACCAACAGATGCTGACTGCCTTCAACGACGCCTTCCAAGTCAGGTGATTTAGGAGCGCCGACTGAAATAATGACGCTTGAGCGAGGCGGAATGGTGACTTGTTCTTCCAGCACATTCAAGGCATGGTGTCCTGACGGCGTGCGCGGCGGTAGTGCTTCTTCTGTGGATAACGTTATCGACCTTGTTTTTAGGTTGATGACAGCACCATGGAGGCATAAGAAGTCCATGCCAAGGATGACATCTCTCGAGCAACGCTGTAGGACTACGAAGTCTGTAGGATAAATACGTCCGTTAATGGTGACTCTCGCTGTGCAGATTCCTGCAGGCGTTACGAGATGACCTCCGGCTGTGTGGATTTCAGGGCCTTTCCAAGCTGTCCTAACTTTCTTTAACTTCGCGGCGAACGACCCACTGATGACAGAATAGTAGGCTCCAGTATCGACGAGAGCAGTCGCACTGTGGCCGTCGATAAGAACGTCGAGGTCGCTAGTTCGCCGTCTCGCATTACAGTTAGGGCGTGGCGTCGGGTCACGGCTGCGTCGGCTTGTTCCGCTGCTTCCATGTTGCGCCGTCCGGCCACCTTCGGTAAGTGAGCTTTTGCCTTCAGGGCTTTTCCTGGTTGGGGTTGTGTTCAAAAAGCTCCGTCGCGTCGGCGTCGTCATCGGAGGATCTTCGGTAGTTCGTCGCACAGCAACCGCACCTCCATCGGTTGCTGCCCTTAGTTTCCCGGATACGGGCTAGGAGACCAGCCCCGCGTTGGGCCAGAGTACTGCCGGGGGTGCGGTGACATGCGGCGGCTGGGCGACGGCGAACGGGAAGGACTTCGTGGTGTCCATTGAGTTCCTGCCAGGTAGTCGGCGATGTCACGTGGCAGATCTCCTGGCTGCGGACGCGGTGCATTGACAGCGAAGCCACGCAGTCCCATCTGTCGGTACTGGCAACGGCGGTATGTGTGCCCGGCCTCGCCGCAGTGGTAGCAGAGCGGGCGGTTGTCAGGTGCACGCCAAACGTCCGTTTTTCTCGGTGCACTGCGCTGGCCCGCTGGGGAACGGTAGAACGTCGGTTGGGGTGGTGGCGGCGGTGGCGTCTCTCGACGGAAGTGCGACGGGGCGGCGTTTTGGCGTGGACGGGGAGGAGCGTTGTGGCGCACTGCAGCGGCGTAGCTCATAGTTTCTGGCTCGGGCGGCGGTGTTTCGGGAATTCGAAGCGATTGCCGGACTTCTTCTCGCACAATGTCGGCGATCGAATCCACTTGAGGCTGCGCCGAAGGCAACAGTTTGCGCAGCTCTTCCCGCACGATCGCTCGGATCGTTTCACGCAGGTCGTCGGAGTCACTGGCTTGAGCAGCAGCGCATTCTGGAGTCAGGCGACGGTTATACTGTCTGGTGCGCATGTCCAGCGTTTTTTCGATGGTGGTCGCCTCGGATACAAATTCTTGGACGGTGTTCGGTGGATTCCTCATTAGTCCCGCGAAGAGCTCCTGTTTGACCCCTCGCATGAGGAAACGAACTTTCTTTTCCTCAGGCATGTCTGGGTCAGCGTGACGGAATAGGCGGGTCATCTCCTCTGTGAAAATTCCAAACTTTTCGTTTGGTAGCTTAACCCGGGTCTCGAGTAAAGCAGCGGCCCTCTTTTTGCGAGCGACGCTTGCGAACGTTTGAAGAAATGCGCCGCAGAAGACATCCCACGTTCGGAGCGTGGACTCCCGATTCTCTAGCCAGGTCCTTGCGGTGTCTTCCAAGTAGAAGTACACACGATGGAGCTTTTCTTCGTTGTCCCAGTGGTTGAGGGCGGCCACATGGTCGTATGTTTCTAGCCAGGTTTCCGGGTATTCAAACGATGAGCCATGGAACGTTGGTGGTTCCCTGGGTTGATGAATGATTATCGCGGGCTGGGACGCTCCGGTTGTCATTGTCGCTGCAGTCGAGGTCATGGTCTTGGTCTTCCGCGCCTTGTCTTGTAGCAGGCCGTACTCCGGTGGGAGACCTTGCTGTCGGCGGCTCGTTCGCTGCTCTTGGTTGGCGTCGGTGTCTTCTCCGCGAAGGGGGCTGGGTTCACGGCTTGACGGGGGCGTCCGGTACATGAACGAAGCAGCACCTCCACCAGATGTCACGGGGTCGTGACGTGGCCAAAGACAGAAAACTTCGTGTTGGGATTTAACTGTTTATTTGGGCGAACCCGTGCCCGGTAAAGGGAAAGTCTAATTACAGCAGCAGTCTTGCACAGATAGCAGTCTCGGACTGATAGCGGCGAACGCAGCGTCGGCCTTCGATCAACAACTGACAAGCGGCGAAGCGCGTCGGCATTTATACCCTTGCCGTCGAATGTTCTAGCGTTATCGCTGACGGTGGCGTAGGTTCCAGAACAATCTGTACGGTTCGCACAGTGGGCGTGATCTTATCGAAATGATCTACTACAGTCCGGAACCTTCTCGAAACCTGCAGGCGCGGTTTGCGCCGAGAATCGTGTGGTGTTTCGGAACGATAACAAAAAACTTGTGAAATGGAACATGGCAATATTTACCATGTTCGAATGTGTGATTTACCTTCGTCATCTATTGATGTCACGCAATACCAAATTTGGTATATGCGCAAGTAGCGAAACGGCCGGGAGCACGCTATGAGCATCGCATGCAGTCATGTTTTTACATTACATGCATGTGATGATCATTATGTTTTGACATGTCTTTTGCGTCCGTCGATTCACGTCACTTTCTAGCAAGTTTGGTATATGTGAACTTAGCGAAATGGCCGCGAGCGCATCTTGAGCGTGGTATGTCGTCACGTTCTTGAATGAGACACATGACATGATTATCATGTTTCCACCAGTCCTATACCTACGTCATTCACTGGCGTCACGAAGAACCAAATTTGGTGTGAATAAAGCTAGCGGAACGATCGCGAGTACACTATGGACGTGTCATGTATTCATGTTTTACGTGACACACGTGTCATGATTATACCGTTTGCACGTGCCATTTACCTTCGTCGTCTATTCCCGTCACATATACCAAATTTGGCATATGTAGAAGTAGCGAAAGGCCCATGAGCCCGCTATGGACGTAGAATGCAGTCATAATTTGCGTGACACGCCTATCATGATTATCATGTTTTGGTGTGTCATTTTTCTTGTTCGTCGAATCACTTTACGCAATACTAAATTTGACATATGTTAAGCTAGCGAAACAGCCGCGAGTGCATCATGAGCATGGTATGTTGTCAAGCTCTTACTTGACACGCATCTCATGATTATCATGTTTGCATAAGTCATATACCTTCGTCATCCATTCAGGTCACGTAGCACAAAAAATGGCGAATGTCAAGCCAGTGACACGTCCACGAATGCACAAAGAGCGTAGCATGTAGTCATGTTTTACATGACATGCATGCAAGGATTATCACGTTCGAACGTGTCATTTACCTTCGTCGTCTGTTCGCGTCACGAAATACTAAATCAGGCATAAGTGAAGCTCGCGAAACAAACAAGAGCGCACCATGAGCGTGGAGAGTAGTCATTACTTACATGACATGCGTGTGATGATTTACACGTTAGGGCCTGCCTCTTATGTTCGCCATGTAGCCATTTCATACCTTACTAGTTTTGCAATACATCATGTGAATGGAACCATCGCAAGAACAATAAACACAGAAATGTAAATCATGACATTGGTGGCATACATATGATAATTTTGATGTTATGGCTAATCACATATGCTTAGCATACAGTCATGCTATGCCAAACCAGTTTTTGTATTGATACCATTATCGAAAAGGCCTGGAGAGGTAAAAGTTGTAGGCACCTAGATAGGTAGATAGATGGATAGATAGATAGATAAATCGATAGATAGATAGATGAATAGATAGATAGATACGCTGAAATTTATTGAAGATCACTAAGAAATGCTTCGCATTTACACTCCTCTTATTGTCGATTGCATAGGAGTATTTGATGTTGCCATGATAAATTGTCTTACCATTTTACGACGTCTTAATTAACGTTCAATACTTTTGCATAGGAGCTGATACAAGGTACATCAGGTAATCGCTCCGCGCGGAGAATGTGTGCAATATGCGGCAGACGCCACAATGCTTTGGCACCATTCATGTCTTTTTTTCTTGTGAAATATCATAGTTGAATTTCATTCATTACCGCCTTCTATGGTGAACAGCAGCGTTCCAGGTTCTTCGCCGGTCTTAACGTAGAAAGGAATATTCTGCCTGCAAATGAGCAAAAAAAAAAGAACGGCAGTTTATGTGATCTTCAGCTGGAGGTGTTCAGGAGTTCTTGAAAAATATATGGGCAACTCCCTAATTTATCGCGCTACTGCGAAACATCTCAGATACTTTGCTCCACCCATCAGAGGGATATTGCCACGTGCTAGCAGAAAGAAAGACGATGGTAGTGATGCATGTGCTATGAAGGACTTCAGAAGTCACGACGAAGAACTTATTCTAGAACAAGAAGAACTTGTTCAAGAAATAGAACGTGTTCTATATGGAAAAGCAAGATACTTGTGGTATCTCTATCTCTGTGATAACACCTATATTTTGACGTCGTGACAGCATGAAGCACCATGATTTCTGCAAGCAAAATGACATTGCCTATCTTGAAGAGAATATCTACTTTACGAGAGCGATTTGTGCAGGCCACTTCCTCTCCTCGGCGCGCATTGTTGTAGACAACCACGGCAACTATTTCTGACTGGACACACAACGGCAGATTATCGGTGGTGGCATTACATTAACAAGCACGTAGGAAGTAGTTAGAATTCTGCCGCGCCTACACGTCGACGGAAGGCGAAAAAAAAACATGCGCGCACTTAATTTACGTACTCGTTAAAGAAGTGCACATGGTCAAAGTTTATCCGGAGACCTCCTTCTCATTGTGTCTCATCATAAAGCTGTAGGCTTAGAGTATGAGGTACTATGCTTTATTTCTGTCCAGTTTGCATCAGGTCGGCATTCGCCGCATGCATAATTTTGGTGTTTTCAGAATGGCGTCGTAGCTTGAGAAAGAAGATCAAAAGGACTCCTTTTCCTCCACAAGGCAACTTCTTTACGTGTTACTGCCACGCAAAATAACCCAAGTGTCACACAAAGGGTGTGACACAAAGGGCTTCGGTGACAATGCATGATAAAGACTTACCTAGTACAACTACCTGGTATTACACAGTACGACGAGCTGTATGCTTTTTTGCGCTGAGCAAGGCCCTTGGAAAAATTGAGGACCCAGGTTCAGACTGCATCTCTGATAAATGCGTATACCTTTATTTTTGAATGGCCGTTGAACTGCGCTGGTGCAGAGACAGAATTGAGCAGCTTCCACATGGCAGCACTCTTTTAATTCATTCAACTTAGCTCTCTAACCACAACTATGCTATTCAACAACCACCCTTTCAGGCAGCGAGAGCGCGAGAGAAACGAAGGAATTGGCAGGGACGTTAACCAAGCTTGGCTAAGTTGGCTACCCTACTCGGGTAGTGGTAAAAAGGCTACCAAGGTTTAAGCCACTGACTTACGCAGCAATGTGAGTCATGTTGCTGAAGTTTGTAGTGAAAGCGGTTTGAATGAGTTTGCTATTCTACATAGGTAACATGCTTATGTAGCTCTCGTATGCCGTCATAAGCATAACGACATTGTTGTGTCATCATCTTTCAAGCATTCTCTCTCATATTAATGTAGTCAACATACAACTTGAAATCTCAGTGGTTATCGTCCTCAGCTTTCCCTCTACCTTTCTTTCTATATATAAGGCGGTGAAGGTGAATGCACACAAGACTAGCTGGTCTCGATAGAAACCTTATTCAAGAGCACTGACGGAGGCAGGTATCATAAATAGTACTATGCCTTGTATTCTGCACAAGAAAGATGACGCGTAAAATAATCTAATACAGAGAGGAAGATTGAAACGTTGCATTGTGTGCTTTTTAACTCAGAGGCTTTTTCTGCAAGCTCCACTATTTAATTACTATGCGCTAACAGGTACCCGAATTTTATGAATACTTACAATGTCTTGCAATGGAAATCTATATGAAAGTGTTTAGACCTGCGTTCCATAAAAGAGAATATTTTGACAAGAGGATTATTATATCTCTGGATAGGGCCATTGGATTTATATTTTGACAGTACGAATGGTAGAGACATCTAGAGGTTAGAGCATAAGTACTCCTTCAACGAACCGTCATACTCAAGTGGCATCATGTCACCGCTCAGGACGCTGACATCGCAGTAAGAGTAGAATAAATTGTTTCACCACATAGTCGCTGTATCTTGGGGAAGAGGTGACAGAATATTTGCTATGGTTACGGGAACGCTTTGAGTAATACAAGGTTTTGCACGGAACATAGCATTGATGCACAAGCGTGTTTCAAAGCAGTAGCCGTAGCCCGACCTCCACTGGTGCGTCACTTTCAGCAACTATAGATCCTTCACAAGAGCCTATGCGCCCTTTCGTTGACGAATTAATTTGTGCAGTGGAGCTATTGTTAATTGATTGACGTAATCCAGCACAACGCGAAACATGTTCAATGACTCAAAGGGGGCGCAATACTAAATAGGACTTGCAGAGCTTTGCGCCAACTCTGCTGAGATTTCAAAGGATGTAATACCTTTGCACGTGTCATGCGCTGAAATTTGGCACATAAACAGACAACAAGTCTTTTTCTTCACAGTTTCTGAGGCGTCTAAACAACGGCCCTAGAGAAATTCACAACATACTTTGGAGAGTTCTCGTTCCCTTGAAAGAGCCACACGAAAGTAGCTGTTTGGGCCTCCGGGTCAATCTCTGTTCTGTTTGCGGCCACACATTCAAACATGGTGTCGTTGTCCGAGTCTGAGATGGCTACGGTGTACGGGAAGTTCTCAATAACCTGCAAAATAACATTTCCTAATTAGGGCAGGGAAGCTCCAATTTTGGTAGTGTCAACCATTCTTACACACAATGAGAATCTTTGCTACTCAATGCAGTTCATAAAGATAGCCGTATGGCGCAATGCTTAACACTGATTTTAGTGTTAATAGTGTGACTAGCTATGCAAAGATGATAGTCATGCGTATGACATTAGCTTACCGGGTACGTCGACTGCTGTTTGGGACATGAAGCGTGTAGTGCAGCGCGATAGTGAATTACCGTGCGTACATAGGTGCTACTTCTGCCGATGACAGATGGGAACTTCGATGAGCTCTCGTGGGTATGGTAATCAGCACATGCTTATGGTAGTAAGCATCCTTGAGTACTAGCAGAGGCTCACCAATTATCAGATAATACTAGCGTATATAATGAAAACCAGCACGCAGTGGGCAAAACTAGTTAGTAGCTAGGGATCATTAACCAAGAGGTAGTAAGCATAAGCTAGAAAGAACTAGCGCATGGCCAGCCGATAACCAATAGGAACAAAAACAGTCTATGCTAGCTAACGAGAGCAAGCGCTAGATAATGCTATCTGACAGCTAGCAAATCTCATCTGAATCTAGAAAGCAGTGAGCCACCATTTTTTGCAGACATCTTCCATAAGGCATCTCAGGCCTTCACGCTGGCAGGATAAATTCGCCTTTCCCAGCACATTCACTGCATCAGGAGGCCATTACAGTAGTCAGCCTCATACCGCACATGCACTGACTACGGGGAAACGCCTGGCATGGGTGGAATTTGCAACATATTTTTACATTTTATCCTAGAAATGTTTGCGTGTTTATTTTACAAAAAGAACTTTCATAGTGAGATCACCTAACGACATATTTTCAGAGACGAGGCTTGCGTAGGAGAAACAACGTTTCATTGTAGTTTTCTATCAGAAAGCTTACTGAATTTTCTTCGTTTGAAGACATTACACCAGAGCAGGGCGAGCATAAAAAGAGAGGAAATGCAGAATGGTGAAACAAAGGTATATGTGGTTTGCTATTCTGCGCTGTAGAAAGGGGGTGAAAAAGATGAAAAAGAAAGTAACATAGACAGGAGAACACACAAATAACACTGCTTCATTTCATTGTACTGTACGCAGGATCACATGCGCATTACGTTCCACTGACGAAATTCGAGAATTTGATCAGAAGTATTCAGCATGAAACGCCCTACCACGTGTTCTGGTGAAGTGTATGGCAGTTTCAGGTGGCCGAAGAACGCGTGAAGTGTATTTACCAGTTACTGAAGCACAATGATAATTGGTTTGCGTTCTGACAACCACATTCAAGAACTTTTGAATTTATTTATTTCAATTACGTACGCAGATTGTAAGGACATTAAGCAAGGAGCACAAGAGAAAGCTAGCAACTGCCATGTGCCGAGGCACAGCACCTGCCTATTTTGTCCGGAGTAAAAAAGAGATAGAGGGAAGCAAGATAGAAGGAAATAAGGACTTGACAGAAGAAAGAAGTAAAGAAAACAGTGGTGAAAGTTTGCGAATCAGAAGTGAAATAGAAATAGGAAAACGTCTATAAACAGGAAGCCAGGTTCGTTGGTTAATAATTTCTGTAGGGCTTGATACCTGTCAGAAGGGCCTGGTCACATTGGGAACACAACCTCTCGGGAAGAGAAAATCGTCTATAATCACGCACATAAATCCCAGGAGTTTATGCCTATTTATCCACAAAGCCCAATGCGTAGTAATTAAGGGACATTGTACTATAAGACGATCAGGTGCATTACAAGAACCACAGGCTGTGCACAAGTGACTGTCAACATGCCTTTCATGGTGTGAGCGTTCGCGCACCAACACTGAGCCAGCTCTTGTTTATATAACAGTGCTCTGGAATGACGAGCAAGCAAGGACCACGAACACGGGGAGAGAATGATTAGTACACTGCATATTGGCCTGGGTACTGCACTAGGAAGCCTCAGTACATAAGCAGATGAGCGTTGTCCTTCATATATAAAACTTCTGGGCAGTTACAATCATCACAGTTAAAAGACAAAGCAAGTTGGTCAACCTTTTCATTTCCAGCAATGCCCACGTGTAGAGGTACCGATTGGCAGCTACGAAATTATCCTGAGAAATAGTCAAAACACAAGCAGATGCGAGCAATATAAGTAGCTATGGAAGATACACCTAAAGGCTCTCGCGGTGATAAGAGTGCGGTGACGGCATATATGAGTCCCACATGCTGCGCGTAGCCATGCCAATGCCACCGAGCAAAATGTACAATTTCTTAGTTTTTAGGAGCATTTCTATATTTTTTATTTATACTTTCCTTTATACATTCATACAAGCACATGGCAGGTTCCAATTGGAACACTACATGAGGAGAGTTGTGGGCGCGAAAAATTGCAGCAAAACAGAGCACGTATAGTTGAATCGCCAAACACGTAGGTTGTGGAAAGTGAACGCCAAATACAGATATTTTTAACACGGTTAACGTATCATTTAGTAGCTATGCGGCCAAGAATGCCTCAGTCAATACACAGTAAAAGTACTTTATTAGGAGACAGATCTGCACTCTAATAGACCACACCAATTAAAACATAGCGCTAGACCCTTGCACAAGCCGGAACATCTTTATACAATTTCTCTACGTTTGAGACATCGAAAGAAAGAATAAGTAGAGTGAAAAAAATGTTATAGACTCATCATTTGAAGCTCTCGTTTGAAGACCCCAGAGCCCTGTAAATAAACTACTCTTAGTATTTATTCGTTTATTTATTTGCCTATTTAAAATTACCTTACAGGCCCCTAGATGCATTGTGTGAGGGGGGTCATACAAAAAGTATTTCGAACGTGTACTGCGTACAAAAATATCACAAATATATGAGAACAACGTAAGAAATGTTATCGTAACACAAGTGGGAATTCATTATGTAATGTGATTGCGCTATGTTCTACACAACAAAAAGAGGCAGAAATATAATTTCCCTCAAGACAGCTCATTTACACAAGAATTACTGAGCGCATGCCCCATCAGGTGTGTAAAGTGAAATTGCATACAAAAGGCAATAAGAGATAAAAAACAATAATAGTGTTGTGAAATAAAAAATATTTTAACAAACGTGAGTTTATTATATGCTTACAGTTTTCTTGGTTATTATCGGAATCAATGGTGTTAACATGGTCGTTCCAAAGGCGAACGGCTTTTGGAAGAGCAGAATAGTTAATTGAATCAGTTTTTCGGTTCATGCGCATGAAGGTAAAATGATTGTATAAACGTTGTGACATATATGGGAGAGTTTGAAGCCTTAAAATCATGAGGGCGCAATAAATATGTATTTCTGAGATAATGTTAGCAGTTATCAATGATATCTGGAAGATCATTCATATGCTAAATGACACCGAATGACGCCGATTAAATAGAAGGATTTGTTTGTCTGAGCAGACGTTGTAAACTTCAGTTATTTCGAAGACAGTGAGATATACAGCGCATTTGACAAAGCAGTAGTATAGATGCATGATAATTGCCAGAAAATGTTATTGATATATATGTGGGGGGTTTACTTTGAAAACACCATATGATATTGAGACCACCGCAGTAGAGGGCTCTGGAAATGCCGACCACCTGGGTTTTTCAACGTGCACCAAAATCTGAGCACACGGGCCAACAGCATTTCCGCCTCCATCGAAAATGCAGCCACCGCAGCCGGGTTTCGATCCCGAGACCTGAGGGTCAGCAGCCGAATACCTTAGCCACTATACCACCGCGCTGGGGCTACAGAAAATGTTATAAGGATGCCGATAAATCAGTGTTCCTATGTGGCTCCTTGGATCGAAGCGAAAGCGACTTCATATCAGACGGGCGTGATGCTTGCTTGTAGTTGCTGTGGTGAAACGAGCCGCACGATTTTGTATGGACTCGAGTGAATTCACCAGGTATGCTTATTGTGTGGCCATATAGATGACGCACATAGCAGTTGCGAAAAGAGAAAAAGAATGATAGATTAGTGTTCGTATAGCGGATGGTGCCTCAAGAAGATTTTGTTTTTGGTAATCAAGTTTCCAGGTGCCCTTTTGTCTACTTGGACGGCTGATGTGAGAGAGATACTTTATTATTTGCACATAAATGTTTCACTAACAAATGGACTGCTAAGCGAATAACAAAATGTCGAGTTGGCATGTTTATGAATGAAAGATACTTGCATTGATCCGCGGTGAGGGCCGTTGGCCAAGACGAACGTGACAGACTCGCAATTTAAAAATGTATATAGAGGTGCTGGCAACAAGCTCAGCTTATCTACCGTCGTTCAAGCATGCCATTACAGTCATTTATTGACCATGGCCTGCTGTAGGTATATGTTTGAGAAAATAGGCTGTGCTAAATCTTCTCTTATTCGTTAGTGAAATGTCAAGGTGTGTCCGAGAAAACCTCAGCTTTTATACCTACGCAACATTAATGCGGTAAATGTAAAGGTGCAGTTGTTTCAAAACCATGATAACTTTTTCGTTAAGCCAAGTTGACAGCCATCCAATTCGCGATTGTTATCTCAACATCTCAAAAACATTCAAAGAAAAGTCACGCTGGCATATTGCGTTGAAAACACTGAACAGCTCGATCATTTTGGAGAGAGCTTCGTCAGTTGAGAGCCTTCCAATCTGCCCTGAATGTCATCTGGGTGTTGTAGGTTAGAAAATTTATTCTAGAAGTATCCTTTCTTGTTGAGACACCAAACTGAGCTTGCATATTAGGCGGAAATTCTATTTTAACACGTTTCAAACTAATTGCCAATACTACAATTATTTTATGCACGCCCCGGAACTTTTAGCAAGACGTCTTCTTAAGTTTCAATTTTTCTATCGAAATATTACGCCTTGTGTGAATATTATATAAAGTTCATTTTATAATGTAATCCTTGCATATGCATATAAGGGTGGAACAATTCTAGTAATAATATTTGCTTCCAGGCAAATTCCCCAAACAGATTTACTTCATACGTAAACCTACTTTGGTACGGAAACGTGGAAAGATACATTTAAATAAATTTCTTATGTAAAACAGGAGGACGACATTGTGATGGATATGAAAGTCTCTAACAAGACAATATTTTTTGAAATTCACAGCTTTGAATTCTATAGATCTGCATGATTATTGTTAATAAATTCTTCATGGTCACCTAAATTTCTTGTGGGCATGACACGGAATGACCTAACGTTATTTAAATTATAACCTACTTACTTCACTTTTACGAAAATACGTACAAAGTAGAAACACGGATAGCGAATGAAATCCGAATCGATTACGAACGAGAGCACAAATACCATTTCTAGAGGCTACTCAAAGCAGTCGAAGTAAAACACCAAATGCACCAGTTTTTCATATACATAGCAATAAAAATGGTAAAAATGAATTCTACGCGTCCGTTTTAGGTTATGGTTTCTTGAATATACGCTGTGGTTATAAGTAAAGAAACCACTGCATATTTCTTCTGTATTACAACGTTGGGCAAAAACTACTGCCACGTGGAAGTGAATATATACCCTTTGTGTACATTTTAGCAGAAATTCAGCACATTGCGAAGTTACTTCATATTACAAAGTCCGATTTGTAATTTCAATAAGAAAGGTATTGAGAAAGTTAGATGTGTTGGTGGTCTTGCATGATGTTGATTCAACACTGTTTCTGACGCACGATAACGTAAAAAGACGTGACACACAAAGCACTAACCTAAAATTGGGCTTATTCTACAAAACAAAGCCTTAAAATGAAACTAAACCTTTCAACTGAAAGCGTCCACATTATATACTCATCGGAATTACTGCCGTTATGGGCATAATTAACCTCCAAGAACCCTACCTAGTTTTTCACACTAATTTTCTCCATATAAAAGCACGTAAGTGTGCGACCACAGTTAGCTTCATAAACACAAGAAGAAGTTTCAATAGGCTGTGCTAAAACTCTGGTGAATATTATACCTTAAAACTGTCGGCAATCTCCTGGTGCAGCTTACGGGGACCACCGGGTGATCCGAGCTTCCCTAGTACACATGCCGTGCACCACAGCGCAGCGAGTGCAAACGATGCGATTCTTGCCATATTGAGCACTTACGCCGCCCCTGTTGACCTGTCTTTTTAAGACCCTCGCGAACTCATTAACTCGGACCACACGATGTACGCGTGATTTTGCTCGTCTGAGAGTGAGACCATTGGATCTAGCTGCCAAAGTCGGGTAGACAGATGTCATACTGCATGTCAAAACACCGTAACAAGAACACTCACTATCGCTTCGCGGGCATATTGCGTAGATGAGGGACTGTTGTGTCACGACATTTAAGCAATTATTAGGTGCCACGATATGATGCTATACCTACATCGAATAGGAAAAATATCGCAGTAGAGTTGGGTGGCCCATTTTGCTTATCCTAATTTTTTATTGGTTTCTTTTTCGCTTTCTTTCGTTTTCTACTCGTTTACTCTACTCAATTTTTGTACCTGTTTCTTTTCGCTTCTTTTCTTTGTAGTTTCAATCACTCTATTTCTTTCCTTTTTTTTCACGCTCATTTTTACAACGTCCTCCTTTTCTATCTCTCATTCTGTCTGACTGTCCTTTCATTTTAATGATCCACTCCGTTTTTCTCTGGCTATAGGCTTTTAGGAACCTATTTCTTTCAAGCACTTTACATCACCATCTTTGTCTCTCTCTGTCTTCTATCTTTTTATCTTTTCATTCCCAATTTCCCTCTTTGTCTTCCTTTCTCTTTTTAACCACCCTGTTCTGTCTATCACTTTTTTCATATTGTCTCGCCTTCCAAAGTTGTTTGCTTCGTTTTTCTTTCACGTGTTTGAAGTGCTCCGCCGGTCGAAGTGTCTCTAATGTTGATACCTGCTGTACTTGGTTGTATTACTAGCCTAATTTGTTCGCTGTATACCAAGTGATTTCTAATACTAAAGCGAAAAAGTTTCATTCAGAGACATGAAAATTCCCTATTTCGGAGTTGTGTTTCTGCAAACGTTGACAAAATTCGCGGCGAAATTCTCTACACAATACTAACTTCTGCCCCCATCCACTTCACACACGTACTACGTATCTGTGTGCGTGGACCAGCTCTTGATTAGGTAGGCCGTTTGGCACATGTATGTCCGATTTGGCTGATGTTACGTGGTTATGCGCAGATTCTGTTTTCCTATATATTGCAGTGGGATTGCAATTAACTTTGGTTGGTAATTCAGCGCTCTGTTCTCGGCTCTTCTATCTCATCCTCAGTCGTTTTCGCTGTTAGGCACTTTCTTCATCTACCATACTACGTGTTTCATGTACTGGTGACTTTTGAAATCATCGACTACCCCCTCCACTGCCGCGCAACAAAAGCATGACTATCAATTAATATACTGTTAGTACACTTCACACTGGTGGGCTTCAAGTTTACACCTAACAGTGAACTAGAAATCGCTCCACGTAAAGATCAGAAACAAAGTCGAAGGGCTATGCTTGCGTCGTGAATGCGTCAGAGCAGATTACAGCAGATGAAGGTGCACTGTGACTGCGAATTATCGATAATCAGAGGATAGTTTAACCTCTCCTGAAATTCCCTGCAATATCAAAAAGATTCCCTTTTTTCCATTCGGCTCAAAATGACAGGCGAAAATTTCTCAAAAAACGAAAAATTCTGTGCACAGAACATAACTGTGTGTAAATACCTGTTTCACGTTGGACACCTTACGGTAAGCTTAAACAACAGCTGCATAAACGCCCACTCCAAATTGTAGCACTGTCATGAATACCCTGAAGAACCATTTGAGTACCAGTAGGTCTACACATCAATTTGTTTTTTGTTTCTCACTCGTCTGCATTCACATTTTCAGCAGTGCATGTGGTAATGAATCAAAGAAGCCAAGGATAAGCTCATGACAAGGCAAAAAGAGGAATTCAAAGACACCGCTTGACTCACGTTTTCATTCAGCTGCCGGGAAAAAGGTGTCGTGCACAGAAGAATATATTGGTCAGCCCAGTGAGCTGGCGGCATGAAGGGCAAAGTGTAATATGCCTATAACACAACTAAAGTATTTCGTTTCTTGTGTTGAAATATATTCTTTGTCGCATAATAATCACTATATAGGAGTGAGGCTTGAGATGATGTTGCTCGCCTGTATTGCATTGGCGACTACGCGTCGCCAATGCAATACAGGCGTTCAGAGTATACTTGTTGCTTTGAATATGGTTCAGAAACTCCACTGTGCTGAGTGAGTGGTGAGTTCGATCTTGAGTTGTGTAAATGTGTGCTTTCCTTGCTCAGAGGAACCACAAAATCTTCTAAACGAACGTCTCCTAAAACACACAGGCATTTTACCCTCTGAACATTATGTCATGAGATCGTGATGCTGACGGAAGGTAGCAATCGGTGGCTTCAAAACTGAACTTTTTTGGGTGCACTGGGGCCGAGTAAATGAAAATGCATCGAGTTCTAGCCGTTACCTCATAGCGAAGTCAACAGTCGTCAACCGTTGCGTATTCTGATGTGCGGTAAGACACATCGGCATTTACACACTGCGGCATCGAACATAGAAGCGTTATCGCCAGCGGCTGTTTTAGTTCTGAAAGTAACTCAATTGTGAGTTTTTTGTGCTCCAACCTAAGAAAACATTCTGAAGCAATCTAAAACGTTCTCGGCCATTCGGGCAAACTTTGTGTGTTGAATACATGAAGAATGGGTCGGCAACATAGAAACATGCATTGCCCTGGCTGAAATGGCAATGCCTATATGTTTTAATGAAAGTGGATACAGCAGGCAAGTGCAATATTAATACAAATAGTAAACTATTGTGCCATAACTTTAGAATGCCTAGAGCACGTAGCGCGTTGTATGACTCCAAGTATCATCGAAAAATTATTTCACAAAATAAGCGTATCGGCGTCCAGGTCCAGAGACAGTCGCTGGGGAGGTGGATTCTATGAGGCATCGTCGAAGGTTGTAGCGATGGCTGTCAGTATTTTGCTTAACCTGGATGCAGGGACGGGAAAATTGTCTGGCTTCTTGGGCACGCTGAAGTAAGATGATGACGTCGAAGTTTTCATCTTGAGTGATGTGCGGTAGCAGGGTGCCCAACATCACTGCGGGATTCCTTCTGTCGACCAACCTGTATAGGATATTATGGCGTTTAAAGCACGCCAGTGGTATATACGAATGTTACGTACGAAAGATGACATCCCAATTTTGGACCTTAACGTCGACTAGCGTACATGGGCAGTATGTCAGCAATGACCTTGTTTAGACACTTGGTAAAGCTATTTATTTGTCTGGCTGGTAGGCGACAATCCGGCAGTAGAAGTCTGGCTGTGTCACAAAATCACCTAAGTGTAATCAACAGTAAAGGCCGCACTTCTGTGAGTTATAAAAACTTATGGGGCACCAATACCAGGGAATTGGCTACCTCGGTTGCACAGCCTTTGGACACAGCCGTTGTTTTGGCGTAGTGCAGGATGTAGTGAGTAGCTGCGATAATCCATTAGTTTCCGGAAGCCGACGTTCAGAACGGTTCCTGTTGGTTCATCATTTTTTTTCTGGAACCATCAGTGGGGGTACTCGATCGGCTGAAGAAAGATGATTGGTCTTGTCACCTATAGTTTTCGTCGCTGGAAATCTCTACCTGTACTTACGTATCTAGAAACCTCGGTGGCAAGGCGCGACTATTAGTACCTCTCCTGTATTCTCCAGGGCGTGGCGGAAACGCCATGGTGTCTAATCGTATGGTCTTGTATGGCATAAGAAATTGCAATGCTGTAGGTCCAACAAAGAGGTAGTTGGCTTAAAGTGACTAATTCGCTTTTAAGAGAACGCTGTTCTGCACAAAAGTGAAGCCAGTGAAGCCAGTGAGGTACAAGATAAGGTTATAAGTTCTGCGTCAGCTTACTGTCTTTCAGCGAAGTCAGCGGCAATTATGGTTCTAAAGAAGCAGTCTTAATCCTGGCCATCTTGTGCCGACGGGTCAATGTACGCGCGAGACAGGCAGTGGTCAGCGGAGTGCTCTCTTCAGGGCTTTTAAATGATGTTGATTCCCAATTTTTTCCCTCGCAGACACAACTTTGTGAGGCGACCAGCGAGGTCCTTCAAGTTAGCTGGCCAACAGAAGTGGTGATTGACGCTAACAATTTTCAAGATCCCACTCTAAGTGTAGAGGCGAAAAGTACACGTAGCCCATATGAAGTCAAGCCACTCTCTTTCTACTAATAAATAATTGGATTCTGCCTTGAATGGTGACATACTACCTTTACTGATAAGGCTTTGCAGTCCGTTAGTGCTCTAAGCAAAGACAGTGCCTAGTTCTATGCTGCTGGCGTGAGTGCTTATTTTCTGACTGGTGTATGCGTCGAAATGCGTGACTACGCAAGGTACCTGGAGGTATCTTTCAGTTCTTGAAGCACTTTGGTTTGTACCGATTTACACTTAAGTTGGACGTCAGTCTTTATGAGGTACATAGGGGAGTTTGGTAACATTTTGTAAGCGCTCTAGTGCAGCTGATGGACAAATTCTTCTGTTTTGATGCAGTGCACAGCAAGTTGTGGTTTCCCAACGTCTCTAGACGGCAATAAACGGCATTTGTATTCCTACATAAGGCGGCAGAGCTATTGCTGCAAGGGGAGCGGAAAGACTCAGAATTGGTGTGTTGACGCTATTGCTGCAGTTTTGTCAGTATCTGAAGAGGCAAACGCATTGCTCACGCCCGCGATTGCTCAAATGTTCGGAAGCAGTGTACACCTGCTGAGATGTGTCTATTAATTGCGAAGCATTTCTCAGTGAACTTCGGCGACTTTGAGCGTATCTATCTATCTATCTATCTATCTATCTATCTATCTATCTATCTATCTATCTATCTATCTATCTATCTATCTATCTATCTATCTATCTATCTATCTATCTATCTATCTATCTATCTATCTATCTATCTATCTATCTATCTATCTATCTATCTATCTATCTATCCAGCCGCCTATGACTTTTAGCTCTCCTGGCCATTTGGATAATGGTATCGATACCAAACTCAGTGTGGCATAACATGACTCTATGAAGAGCATATATGAGTACTCATAACGGTGAAAATCATGACATGTATGTCATTAATGTCGTGATTTACATTTGCTGGTCTTGCTGCTCCTGCGGTGATTTCGTTCATACGAC